GTGGGAGGAGCAGAAGGAGAAGCAGGAGGAGGAGCAGGAGGACCAAGAGGAAGAGGAGGAGGAGGAGGAACAGGAGGAGGAACAGGAGAAGGAACTGGAGAAGGAAGAGGAGGAGGAGCAAGAGCAGGAGAAAGAACTGGAGAAGGAGGAGCAGGATGAGCAAGAAGAACAGGAGAATGAAGAGGAGGCAGACAAGAAAGAGGAGGAGGAAGAAGAGAAATACAAAGAGCAGGAGAAGGAATGGGAGCAGGAAGAATACCAAGAAGAGTAGGAGGAGGAGAAGGAAATGGAGGAGGAGAAGGAAATGGAGGAGGAGAAGGAAATGGAGGAGGAGAGCGGAGAGGAGCAGGAGAGGGAAGAGCAGGAGAAGGAGGAGGAGGAGAAGGAGGAGGAGGAGGAGGAAGACCAGGAGGAGGAGGAAGAAGAACAGCAGCAGAAGGAGGAGCAGAAGAAGGAGGAGGAGGAAGAACAGCAGGAGAAGGAGGAGGAGGAGGAAGTGGAGCAGCAGCATCGGCAGCAGCAGTGGCGGTGGCGGCAGCAGCAGTGGTGGTAGCAGTCTCAGAAACACCCAGGCTCCAAGGATCAGAGCACCCCACAGGGGAGGGGATCAGCCCCTCCGGCCATGGCAGTGGCAGCAGGGCACTCTGTGTTCCTCCTGTCAAGCTGTCCAATCCCGGTGCCGATTCCCATCCTACCAGGCCTCCGCTGAGGGCAGCACTCAACACCCGGAAACCCACAGCCCAGAAAATCGCCCCTCTGATGGCCAAGACCATGCAAGATTACAAGAATGATGAGTTACTATTCATATTTATTTATTTTATTACTTGCAGCAAGGCAGAAAATAGCTCTTTTGCATGCTTCTATAGATCATCAATGGCTACTTTGAGAATCTATAATCTAATACAATGGAGGATTCAGAAGAAATGGATTCCTAGAAAAAAATAAATAATCAAAGTTGAACCAAGAAGGTCTAAATTTCCTATATAAATAATCTAATATAAATAACGAAATCAAAGAAGTAATTAAAAAACTACCAACAAATAAAAGTCCAGATTGTGATGCATTCACTGATGAATTTTACAAGAACTTCAGTGAAGATCTAATGCTTATATTCCTCAAACTTTTTAAAGAAATTGAAAGGGAAGGAATACTCCCAATGCCATTCCTAAAACCTAGC